TTTGAAATCCACTGGAACATTGCTCTCTGATGCATTGCAAGGGCAAACAATCTCACTGTTTTCCATCTGCTACCTCACACTATGGGAGTCAAACTTATGCACCTACAAACCAGAGCAAAGCACACAGGTCTAAGTTTGGTACACGTGTAACGTTTTTCATCTTCAAACTCTCTGAAGAGGGGAGAAAATTGCATTAACATTCACAGCACCCTTGTGAGATAAATACAAAATGATTGCTTACCCTGTAGTGTATTTTATCTGAAGATTTTCTCTCATAGGACTCTGAATGCAGCTTTTGCACCTTAGCACAAGACTAGCAAAACGTCCTGAATTCATTAATTAACAAGAAATAGTCACACTATAGTCACACTAGTCATTTTTTCTGATGATGTCAAAACCAGTCATAAGGTAATCCCTGAAGTTTGTTTTGAAAGTGAATTGTGACAGCTGAGTACATTAAGGTAAAAGCTGGAAGTGGAAGTGAAAGTGATCAAAATGGGTCCATTTGTGGTATGTCACAACATACTCCCGTCTGGAACCTCCGGTCCTTCTGATGTTCTGCTTGCCCCAAAATGCCACGCTCAGGAACTTATTCATTAGCAGAAGTCAAGCTGTCTGACCAACATCTCGGTGAGGGGGAGCATGCTGCTGTCATGTCAACGATTGTTGAAGCAGTCAGAGTCTTGGTTTGAAGGAATTGCCTTGGGACACCTACAGATAACTATACACAGAGTTAAGGACCATGACCTTCAGGAAAGATGGACACAGGTTCTCTGATGAGACTTTTTGCTTGGCAAAAAGAGTAGCTATCAAGCTGTGCTCTGTACTAGGACTACGTCATCTTTATATTATAAGACTTATTATTCAGAGCCTCAAAGAGGGTTCTGTGACCACAGGACCTGCTTGGAAGACACAGAATCCACTTGACTACGTCAGGCAAAAGTATCTTTGCCAATAGGCTGGCCAACTTCATAAGGAGAGCTTTAAACTACAAGTTAGGAGGGAGGAAACAAGGAGGCTCGAGATAGGGTAAGCAAGCCAAGGGCCTGGGATGATGGGAAGAGAAGGGACATAGCAATTCACAAAGCAACTGAGCTGAAGTGTTATTCCTTTGAGCATAGGCATGTAAAGTAGGAAGTGCCTGCAGAACAGCCTTGGGGTTAGAGCTCTCAAGCCTGCACTGCAGAACCCGCACACTTGGATGCCCCTCAACGCTAACACATGCAGCATGGAGAACAAACAGGGGGAGTTCAAAGGCTGTGCGCCATTACAGGGTTACGATCTCAGTGGGATGCAGAAACGGTGGAATAGCTCACACAACTGGAGCGCTGTGATGGAGGGATACAGGCTCTTTAGGAAGGACAGCAGGAAGGTGAGGAGGGGTGTTGCCCTTTATGTGAGACAGTAGTTGGAATGCATGGAACCCTGCCTTGGAACAAGTCAGGAGCCAGCTGAGAGCTTTTTGGTCAAGATTAGTGGGCAGATCAACATGTGTACTGTTGTACTGGGTACCTGCTATAGACCTCCGCATCAGGAAGAAACAATAGATGAGGCCGCCTTCACACAACTGGAAGAAGCTTCATGTTCACAGGCCCTGGTCCTCATGAGGGACTTCAGCCACCCCAATACCTGCAGGCATCTGAACACCACCCTCTCCCTCTTTTTTACTGTGACAACAGTCAAACGCTGGAACAGGTTGCCCAGAGAGGTTGTAGAGTCTCCATCCTTGCAGATATTCAAAACCTGACTGGACGTGGTCCAGGGAAACGTACTCTAGCTGTGCCTGCTTGAGCAGGGGATTGGACTAGTTGATCTCAAGAGCTGCCTTCCCACCTCAACCATTCTGTGATCTTGTGATGTTTAGCTCAAATTTATTTGATTCCTCATAGATTTAAAATACAAATACAAGCCCTCACCAGTGAACATATGCATTACGGCTTTATTCTTGACACACAGCCCCACTGCAAACCCATTATCTCCAACTGACTGGTCTCACTCTCACTGAGATCAAATTAAGCAAAGCGCGTTTAGGAATGTGGCCCAGCACAGTCATTTTCCTAATCGTGCATTTTACTCCACCTTTGTTTATTCAAAGGATCTCATTTGTATTAAAAGAACTTCCATTTAATATAGAAGGTCAAAGGATTAACTGATCTGTTATTTCAACAACAAAGCTTCTCCCAAACTGAAGTTATACTGAAAATTTAAGCAATGTAGAAGAAAATAATAGTCAGTATAAATCAAGCTAGAAATCCCATCTATGTTTTTTTTCTTTAAGTTTCCCAGCACGGCAACACTGTCCAACAGATATCCAGTATTTGTTTCCCAATGTCATAAAAATGTTCTGTATCACAGCAAATGCGTATAAACATATACCACTGCAGAACTGCTGTAGAATTTCTATTAATATAGAATGCAGAGCACAGGCTCTGTAGACAGAGCAACATTTTAACATGCCTTTCAAATTGGGGAGTGGCTATTGTTTACCATCTCTGGTGAATTTTAACATCAAAATCAACTCTTCATTATTCCTACCCCCCTGAAACATTTCATCCCTCCAGTACTTATCCAAAAATTACCCTACACCTGACAGCACAAGACATTACAAAACTACCTTCAAACGGAGCATTTAATTGTGAATGTTTGGTAAGAGGCGGCCAGAGAAGCACTGACAGCTCACAGGCTGTGATAACAACACTAATGGTAAAACACCTACTGCAGGACAAGAGATTTCAGTAGCACAGTTTCTAATTTCCTGCTTTTGTTGGTTGGCAGAAGGCAATACACATGGAGCAATCTTTGGATTATGTCAGAGATGCATACGACTGCACACACAGCTTTGAGAGGGATAAAACTGCAGAGCACTGCAGGTTAAGATACGTTAAAGTTAACACCAATTTTACAAAAACACATTCTGAGTTAACTGCTTGCTGATAGAAATTGCCTGGTTACACAACATTTCCATACAAACCATGAAAATTCTGTGTTGCAAGAGAGGGAGAGAAGACTCAGTGTGGTAAACAAGGTATTTTTAAGAAGTCACAGAGCATAACTGATAATAAAGGTGAAAAATGAAGACATGAAGAAGAAAGTTGCAATTCCCACCCACCTATTACATTTAAGGTCCTAGATTGCAATTTCAATAATAATTTCTCAATTGCAGTAAAGAAACATAACAGATAGCAAACTGTTCAGCATATCATGTTTTCATCTTATTTCTGACCATGAGAACAGCATGCACTTTTGTGTCACACAGAATTCATTGTAGGATCAGGGTTTCTGTGTTTATAAAGTGACTGAGGTCACAAACTTCTCCCAGCAGGCAACTAGGCCTCTGGGCAAAAAGGGGATGAAAAAAGTGCAAAAGAACACAGAGAACTTCACTCTTTCTGCGAAAATGCTAAGAAATGTATGTACAGTAATAACGGAAAAATATTCATAACTTTATTTTATTATTGATGCATTTCTCAAAGCAAAACTATACTGTTTTCCAGAGGTAGCCCTAACTACTCCAGATTATCCACCTTGCATGCTACAGACACACTTCTTGGGAAAATGAAAACTCAAGAAGTGCACTAACAGCCTACTACTGTACAACCTAAAGTATATATTGTTCTTGAGGGAGACCCATTTGAGAACAAGATTTTCTTTCTTTCACTGTTACCTAGCATGAATATATAACTTTCTCAGAAAAAAAAAGACTCCTAGCTAGATTATCAAATGGCTTTCCAGGCACCTACCATGGTAAGATCTGCCAAAACTTAATACAATCGCAGCTTCTGAATTTAGACTAAATTTTGCTAGCATTTTAGAAACAAGTGTCAGATTTATTTGTTTTGAAAGACGGAAGATAAATTACAACAACATCTATGGCATGGCAAATGTCCCTTCCTACTTATCTCTGTAATGACCCATATACTGCATTGGTTTTTCTTCCTTTTAATTGTATATTCTTCAGCTCCAGTTTTAGTAGTCAGAATGCACAAACCTGTATCTGGTCTTAAACTTTTATTAGAACTCCACTGAAATAACAGAATTTCAAATAAATTATGCTAAATAATGAGGAAGTTAAATGATTCTGACTGACTTCTTGGCAGCTATTTGTTTAAGTGCCTGAAGGAGTAATTATATTGCCTCTGAAAGTTTAGTTTAAAACAACCAAAACCCTAAGGTTCTAAAATGTTAAGAAAATAGCAAGAACTACATGCAAACTC